ACAAACGCTATCAAAGATCGGGATTCAACCATCTACTTTGACTTGATTGGGGGACGAAGAAAAACAGCAAATGAAATATTTTGTTACAAAGTTGATCATCTACGCAGATCATTTTGTTTTTTATTTACTGTTTATAATTTCAATTTTCATTTTACTCGAAAATCTCTACTGAATATCGAACTTCGGTGGCAAATGATGACAGTTAATCAAGTATTTTTATTCTTGCGATATTGTTCGACAAGGTTGTTAGTTATGTTTCTTTTTAATTGCTTAATAAACCAATATCCATGCATGTAGTTTAATTTCCTCATATGCTTGTCAAATGCCAAAGGTCAAGGTCAATAGGTCAACATTTTTGGTACCCAAAGGAAGGTCTTGTCTCAAGGAATCACACCTGTGAAGTATGACAGCCTTAGCACCAACTGTTCAAAAGTTATTACCAAGGTTGAAGTGTGATATTTTTTGTAAAAGTGGGTCAAACTCCAAGGTCAAGGTCCAATTTGGTGGTACCTAGAGAAAGGTCTTGTCACAAGGAATACTTCTGTGAAATATGAGAGTCATAGCACCACCCGCTCAAAAAATTGTTTTTTTTTCTTGCCTACAGACAGACGGACGGGCAGGGCAAAAACTACATACCCCCGAATCTTTGAAAAAGACACAAATCTTTAAACACTAGAATTTATTAAATGATTTAACAATGACACTTTCATCAAAACAGTATAAACTGTTTAATTATTGTTGCTTACGGATTAAATTGCACTTATAGTAAACATTCTCTTTCACAGATATATAATTCTTGTAAAGTAATGTTTGGTCAGCATTCGTTCTGTTTGTGTGTCAAGTCGGCCACTCGTATAACGCTTTGCCCATCGCACCACTCTTCGCTAAATGGTGGAATCCAAAATCATCTTCTTCCTCCGTGAATATTTTGAAAACCTGCTCAATTATATGAAATAACACTTTTTAGACCTAGTAATTTTCAAAACCTCCTCGAAAGTATCATCATCCGAAAAATCCACGATTGAATATCAATCGTAGATAAAACAATTAAAAATAAATAAATTTAGCAAAACTATTCTCATTTTCGTTATCTCTAAATTTTGGGTTTATTTAACAGAACAAAACATATTTGAAAATCAATCTATCACGATGTGTTTTATGCATGCAAAACTTTCATCTGAAAAACTGAGAGCAACAAAGATGGTTTATGTTATTCCAAAATTCACTAAGTAAAGACACTGAGAAAATCTTTGTCTCTCCCCCAGAATATGACAAAAGAAAAAATGTCAAATGTCTCTTATATACTTAATATATACAGGATATCAAAAGAAATCTAAAATGTTACACATATGCATGACCCTTTAATTACTGTAAAAGACGCTGATTTGGCATTACTTAATTAAACACCCAGACATTTAATCTTTAAGCATAACATGAACTTGCGCTCGGACTGATGTGCAGTCTGCGAATCACATGACAAAGCTAACACAACTCACCTTATTTTGACTATCTAAAGTATACACTTTCACCTCCCCTGGCTGTAAATATACCTCAAGCTTAACTCCATAGTTCTCTATCGTGTGGTTCCCGGGAGGGACATTTCTAAACCCCCGAAATCCCCCTACTATCTCAACTTTCTTTCCATCGCATATTATAAAGTCTTTCCAAATATCTCGCAATACCAACCAGGCACCTAAACAGAATTAACAAATCAAAAAACACAAAGTACATGCACTGTATATACTCTGTACTAGGGTACATTTATACTAACTACATGTACATTAAAGTCAATCATCAGTCTTCCAAGTTCTGAGTGTTATACAATGTATGTATATTCTCTAGTTCCTAACTCAGTTCGAGCACTATACCATGATTTATATTTCATACAAGTTTTGAACTATTGATATTTTTTCCTATTAAAGGTACTTGGACACAGATTTGAAGTTAATATTTTCTCTATAATATTACGACTTATATATTTTAATAGCATATCACACAAAAATTAATTAAAAATCTTATTTCATTTAAAAGTTATTAAAACTTCAAATTTTTAGGTGGGTTTGATTGACATCCTTGCACTTTCACAAATTTTAACTTTATTCTTAATCCTTAGGGAAAATGGCAATCTTGTTGAGTATTAATGAGAAAATATCAAAACTTTAATCCAGAAAAATTATTTTATTCAGGGTAGGAATGTTAGAAAGCAAAACTCCTTCACAAGTATCGTCATTCCGAGCTAAGTGTTGTGTACAGAGTTTAGCAAATCGATCACACTCGTGTTGTGTACGCAGCTTTTTGTAAACAGGGCACGGGCTCTGTTATTGTTGATGTTTACGATTCACCGGGTGCGTTCAATCGTCAAAGTCTGCTTACCACAACTGCACGGACTGACAATATATTGTGTGTTTGTTTTGCCTTCGAACATGTCTACTCTGAATTTTCTGGATTATAGTATTAATATTTTTTCATTTATACACAACAACATTGCCATTTTTCCTAAGTATTAAGAATAAAATTAAAATTTGTGAAAGTGCAAGGATGTGTCAATCAAACCCGCCAAAAAATTGAAGTTTTAATAACTTTTAAATGAAATAAGATTTTTAATTAATTTTTGTATGAACTGCTATTAAAATATATAATTAAGTCGTAATATTATAGAGAAAACATTAACTTCAAATCTGTGTCCAAGCACCTTTAAAAAATTCATGCAGGATATTCGATTACTGGTTTCTGTGAGGAAATGTATATGGCATTTAACACTGCATGCTGCACTGCATGCTTAACGATTTTCGGAGTTGTTACATTGTACTGAGAAATTATAAACTTACTTGTCATTTTCTGTCTCGATGAATCTAGCCTAGGCTGAAAAAATATGGACTTTTGTGACAACACATAGTAACAACAAAAACAGGGACTTAACAATGTCAATATAGGTGTAGAAAATTTAAATCCACCATGGACAAGATTTGGTCAGATACATTGGATCGCGGCCGTTCAATAGTCATTTCTCGGTTTAAATGCCCAATCAGTTTACTTCCATTTCCCCCTATAAATCAGGCAGAAAATGTTAAACAGTTTAAGAAAATAAAATATTAAATGAATATAAATTTTGTCAGAGGCCGCAGTCATACTATACAAACAATGAACAGCAACACAGTGGCGGATCCAGAAGTTCATGGGGGGGGTGAGGCCCAAAGGGCCTAAGAGGGAGGGCATGGGAGGGGGTGTCCCCCTCCCATAGGTGGGGGTTCGGGGGACCTCCCCCGAGAAAATTTTGTTTTAAATGGTTCTAAATGGTGCATTTTTCAGCATTTTTGGGGTACTTTTGTAGCTTTTTTTAAAGACCGATCATCACAAATCTTTAAGAATTTACCTTTAACAGAAGACTTTAGACTTTGCTTTAAAAAATTGTTAAATCTGACAATTTCAGGAATACAAGCAGTTGACTTCAAGCTGTCTTCACTTTAAATGCACCTTCTGTTAATTTAGTCGTACGTCAAGCTGACTTCTAAGATACAACTGATGTTCACTATTTAAACAATTAAAAAAAAAAATTAGAAATTGAATTCTTTTCAGAATCCCAAAATAGTGCTTTCCAATTCACTTGAATATACTGTCAATATGATTTGGGATATAAACACACATGTGATATTTCAAACTGTAGAAAAAATTATATAAACTGAAGACGGTGCCAGACAACTCACCGAAAGACAGGTCACCGACAAAAGTGAAAATCACCGAATTGACAATTCACCGACAACAGCGTCGGTGAGAAGAATTTCACAGACAATGTTTTTATAATAATTGTTAGATGTCGTGTTAAGTACGTAGTTCTATTCAGATATAATAAACATAATCAAAGATGTATAAAAAAAAACACCCCAAAAAACATGTTTTTCTTTGTCTTTTTTGTATATCCATCATTGTTGGTCTAGCGCATACAGATTGCTTCTCGTGAATCCGAGCAAGGTCATAGGTCGGCAATATTGGGTGAAGTTTTTGATTTAATGAAAAAAAGATTTGAAAATGAATAAAAACGTTTATTCACATACACGATTTTCTCTAAATATTTGTTAAATTTCGATGTTTTATATATTCGGTCGATGATGTGTCTGTTGGTGACCCTTCTTTCGGTGACTTGTCGTATCGGCGAGTTTTATAGTGTCGGTGAAAAAAGTGTCGGCGAGTTGTCGTTCGGTGAGCTGTCTTTCAGTCACCTGTCATAGACCCAACTGAGGAATCTGTCAAAACTAGAGGGTTTTGCTAAGCCAACCTGATTTTGTAAAAAAAAAAAAAAAAAAAAAAATGCATTAATTTAATTTTTAAAACGGTAAAAAAAAAAACCTGAATAATAATTTATTCAAATAGTTAAAAACATGCATTTTATCAGCAAAAGAATATTACTGTGCAGCACCGACTATGCAGTTTTCTGTTGTTAGTACCTGACTATATTGTACTGTTCATGTTTATGATCTTGTGACTTCACTAGATGCACGGACTACCCTGATCTCTCTCTCTCTCTCTGTTGATTTAATACTTGTGTATCGTGTGCGTTCAAGCGGAAAGTAATTTCCTGTTACGTAGTTGATACCTGTATATTGGTATTAATTAGCATAGTGTATAAACGATGAAGATTTGTTTTAAAAATCGGATCTTTGAATTTTATGAAACGAACCTTTGCATCGAATATAGCCGACCACACCTTACTGAAAGTCCAAGGTTGACTGAGAATTGTACTAATTTTACAGCCCTCTATAAAAAGGACTAGAATCATGAGAACATTTATTACATTCGAAACTTCGATTAGAATATTTAACTTTTCATATCATAAATCAAATAAATAAAACTTTAAAAAGTGAAAGAACTAATTCCAACATACGCTATTGTATCTATCCGGGAAATATACTGCTGTGTTTGGTTCTAACATTACGTTGACCTTAGAATTTCCCGTTTCGAATTTGGCTGTCCAAACTGTTTTCACACCAAGAAGGTGCAGTAAATGTTTCCTAAACAGCTCAGTCTTATTTCGTACGAGTAAGAAATAATGATGAAACGTAAACTTAACGATGGTAGAGGCGCACAGAATCCCGAGCAAAAGCGACCAAGAAGCCAGACCAGTTATATAGGAGATCCACGACTGATCCCACGTGTAAGACAGGTGAGAGACAGAAATGATGTTGATCACTATGAACAGTATTTCAAAGGTGTGTTTACAGTATGGAAAAATTATAAATTTATGTTAAATTTAAAAATTTAAAAAGGGTCATGTTTTAAAGTTTACCTTAAAATTAACCACAACTCTTTGGGTAAAAATTAAGCTGGTTGAACCAGTGGCCATTTTCTCACACATGCACACACAAAATAAAATTAAAAGAAGACAAAAAATAGCCCTTCCTCTAAATAGTTAGAATAATATAACTTTGTCTCGGTACAAGCCCTCACCACAGTTAGAATGTATCCCTTATACTTGCAATATAGTAAATCGGAGAGGATCCACTCTGAAATGATTTCAAAAAATACAAAAAGTGGTTGCTCTGAAAATAACTGCCAAATTATTCAAAACAAACCTTTTAAAGATTGTTTATGCCTTTTATCCCAACAAATAATCCATATATATATATGAAATTCAACTAATTTTCTCAAAGTTTTCTTCTTGCTTCAAATTTACATGTCATTCTGAACTCTCTGGAATGCTGGTAGTAAATGCACTGATTTTAAGACATTGCCTGTGTTTATTTTGCTAAATTGCCAATGTATACATGGAACAAACTCTATCTTAAAACCTGGTCTGTTAGACAATATCATTTTAATGGTAGAATGTTCCATCTAGTATCTTAAACTGTAGTAGGACAAAAGAAAATCTAGTATTTCTAGAGCATTAGAATATATTGTAAAAATATTCCAGAAACAAAATAAATATTGGCCGGCCTATGTACTAAGCAAAGAAATACAGAGTTGTCAAATTTTTTATCTTAGTTGTAAGATATTTTGTGAAAAGGGCCACAGAGATATATAAATCCCTGGTTGAAGCAAAACAGAATCAATATTACATGTACCATGATTACATGATAAAATCCATATCTAAAAATTATGTCCTTTATAACCATTTCTGTTATTTATGAAATCATAATAACAGCACACTTGTTGGCTACAATGCATCATGATGTCGTTATTTCCTTACAATGCATTGTGAGTGATTTGTATGTGTAATCATGTTTTAGTATTTGAATGCTCAGAAGTCAAAAAACGTGAATCTGCGGTCGATGGCAGAGGACCTACAGACGCAGTATGGGTAAGCTCATAGAAATATTTGTCGGGAAAATGCTAATAATTTATGAAGATAGAGTCTTATCATAAACTGATTCAAAGTGAATATCATAAACATGATTTTATTTTTGAAAGAAACTATGTGATAAAATCTTTAATAGGCTTTGATTCATTGTTTGTCTTAAATTGTAGAGAATATGGAAGAAAAAAGAAGAATGCATTTTATAAATCTGTAGAAAAAGGTATTGATTTGTTCTTTGTTTAATTTTTCTAATGAAAACACTTTCTCCACAAAAAAAATTATTAAGTAAAAATCAGAAAGTTGAATGACATACGAGGGTTGTTCGAAAAGTTCGTGGACGATGTCCATCTTCGTTATGTTACTCACTGGAAATTTAAAACAAGCACATTATAATATGTAAAAATATTTGTTTTGTTAATGTGTGAAGTTTCATTCCATTCGATTTGACACAAATAAATTTACTTCATTTTAAACTCAACATGTTTTGTACCCGCGGAGCACACAAAACGGCAATGTAACGTCAACACAAAGCGTCGAGAATTTATAATAGATACTATACCTATACATTTCACACAGAATATTCCAATGCCCATTCATTAAATTCTTTTTCTAATACTCGACATTTATTTTTTAAGAATATATCTCATTGTATAATTTCCTTTGTTAAGGTTTTAATTTCTTTAAGAACTTAACTCTGCTTTCACAGGATGAGCAACTCTGAAGCGCCTTTGTCTTTCATTTACGTTTCAAATTCTTAAGTTTTGTTCAGACGTTTACAGTAAAACTGTTTCTTTACAGGTCATCCTCATCCAATACAGAGTCTCTGTCACTCAAATACTGCCTGTACTATTTGTGCACAAATGAACAACTCGCTTGTGACATATTTTCTTGATTCCTTCAACATTTTGAGAGTTTATTCAGGATTATTCCTGAGAAAAACACAAAATTGCTTCGGTATCTGCTGCTCCGTGACGTTCTAAAACGTCATCGTGTTTGTCGTTTTCAATAAGGACTACTTATCTTCTCAAGTTGATTTCTTTTCAACAAAGCAAAATATAAAAGCATAATTTGGTACACGTATCGAAGTACCAATTCTTAATTAGAAATTCTAGGTAGTTTTTCGTTTTTCCTCCATTTTACAGAGAATATGACTATAGACATTCTTTACTGTATTGTCTGTAACTGACTAAATTTTGACCTGCTCCGCGATCCGATTTTTGTATTTTTAAAATCTGGATAAGTTTTTAATCAATCGTAATATTTTGTCAAAATTATTACATATCATTTGGATTAATTGTTAAAATATTTCTACCAAATTTGGATAACATATGACGTCAAATAAAAAAGATATGACAGTTGTCCACGAACTTTTCGAACAACCCTCGTAATGCTGATTATTTAAACATGATGCATTATTTACCAATTTGAATTATGATTCAGCATTGCAAATTTTTACTGTACCTTTTATATGTTACTGCCAAAGATATAATGGAATACCTATGATTTGTTTTTAAAAAAAATTGATTTGCCATTCAGTACAAATACATATAAATAAAATTATCCAATATATCAAACTATTTAAAAAATTGAGTGAACAGATAAATACTAAATACAGTATTGTTGTTAGGGTGTTTAGTTCTTTTTCAGCATATGAATTAATAAAAGGAAAAGAAGTTGATAATTTGTCCAGGCTGGAGCAAAAACATCTAAGCAAGCGTAGAACTTCATCCTCGAGGTATACCTATACATGTACATATCTTCATTGAAATCTTGATATGCTTTTAATAACTTACAGTTAAACTTTTTTATCTTCAACACTAATATCTGAAATACATGTATATGTACCATGCATAAGTTGAAGTGATTTGGCAGTCCCAACTACTTTTTTTTTATCTCTTTATTTACATTGTTTTCTCAAATCGTTCAAATCTCAAAAGTTTAATCTTAGTCCCATGGAGTTTGACATATCTAAGCTTGACTGTATTTGTGATTTTTCCTCCAATGTTATTAAAGACTTTTACAATGTAATGAAAGAATTCATATTTTTTGTTTTTATATTTACAAGAAAGAAAAAAATGTTCATTTTACAAAGTGAAAGATTTTGAGGAATCAAAAGAAATTTGAAACTGTAGAAAAAAAATAATTATAATTTTTCGATTTATTATAGCGATTCAGACTCAGGTTCTGATGTTATTGCGGATGACAGTGATGTCAGTTTTTCTGATGACAACCCCAACTATATAAACTACCAGGTGAGTGTACTGACATGATAATTATAGACTCCCGTATCATAATCATTACACTGAAGCACAGTGGGTACAATGGAAGATTAACAATGTGTAAACATTTCCAACTCTGCATGGTAGTAACCTTTAAGAATACCAGTCAGCAAATTACAGAATCTCCCTCTTTATTGAAATTGCTTCCACATAAAAGACAAAAGTTGAACACATTTAGAAATTAGGAACATGCAACCAGTGAATCTATTTTTATTCATATATTATTGCTCTCTTTTAAAGAAAATATTTAGCAATAATTATGTATAGGAAATTAACAACTGCATCACAGATAAGTGACAATATGTACAATATGTCGGCCATTTTGGTTTGGTTTTCCTAGGACTCCAATGCTATGAACAGCATGATGGCAAGCATTTACAGAAACATGTCAGCACCTAGCACGTCCACCATGCCTCCCTTATCTCTTGGTCCTGACCCCCTCGTCTTAGATCCTGGGTACAGGAGTCCACCCTCGGCTGGGGCGGATGCTTGTATCACTATAGACGATTCCTCAGAATCAGACAGAGAGGTGGCCTCCACCAGCCAGGGTCCTGGCACCCCCTTCTTTTTGGACCGAGTGGGAGACAAACCACAGTCAAAGAAGGACACTGACTTTACTGATCCCAGTGCCCAGGGTAAGGCACCTGATGTGTCTGTCTGTCAGTCACCTGCTCCCCTTGTAGAGGTACAACAGGGGGGTCAGAAGAGGGAGAGGTCTGAGAAGACAAGTAGTAAGACAGAAGTCAGCGCCAAGGGAAAAGAGACCGAGGATGTGAGCTCAGGGAGAAAAACTCCTAAAGCAAATGTAAGTGTCTAATGTGTGTTACCGTAAACCAACTTTTATTTACCGGGGGTAAAATAGTTCTACGTAAGCTAGTTATTTTTCAGGATCAAGCCTTCTTGGGTCTGTTGTTAATAGACAAAGATTTTAAGGACCGGTTTGCGGCCAGAAATATTCCATTATGACAAGGCTTTCGCTAACCTCGCAAAAATTTCTCACAGATGAATAAATGTTGGTTTACAGTATTTCTTTGCTATCTTAAATATAATGTGAAAATGAAGTAATTCAACATTTAACAAACAATAAATTAAGATTTTTCTGCATAACAGACTTCTTTTTTAATAAAAAAAAATCTCAGTAGTATTTTGATCAGAATAGTCCAGATAAGTTTCAAACCATCCACAGTTTCAACAAAGTCTTTATGCAAGTGAATATTTGTTTTGTATTCAAGTATAAACTTTTTTTTATAGAAAATGAAGAAATCCAGTGCTGAGGGAGAAAGAAAGGAGAAAAAATCGAAGTCAGGTACTGTATTAATTTTACAGAAAAAGCCCTGACTCTTTTATTGTATATATTTTGTTGTACAAACAAGTCTGATTGTAATTTTAGGTGCAGAAGTGCAGACTTCCAGTGTGACCTTTGCTGACGTTGGTGGAAATGATTCTGTATTGATGGTAAGTTTGAAAACATTTTTGAAAAATATGAAGAAAATGAACAATGATGGTATCAATTCCATTGTTAACACTCTGGTATTATCTACATGTATATTAAATTGATACTTTTTTAAACAATTGTAGGACATCTGTAAGTTGCTGGTACACATGAGACACCCAGAGGTCTACCGAAAGCTAGGAATCATCCCACCCAGGGGAATTCTGCTGCATGGACCCCCAGGTTGTGGGAAAACATTGCTTGCTCATGCCATAGCGGGGGTATTGCTTGGGTTATAATCTGTTTTGAGATTGTGTTTACTTCATTTCCTATGTACATACATGTACATGTATATATAAATGTACAATTTGTATTATGCCTTTATTTAGAACGTTTATCATCAGCAAAAAATAAATTCCTGAGAAAGATGACATTCAGTGTGTAAAATATATTTTTAATGTATTTGTCACTGCATCACACATTTTTCAGGAGCTGAGTTTGCCCTTTTTGAAGATAGCTGCCACAGAAATTGTATCTGGTGTGTCTGGGGAGTCTGAGGAGAAAGTCCGGGATTTATTTGACCAAGCTGTGGTAAGTTTATACAGAAACAGTAGCAAACATCTGGAATCTGGTCAATTAAGCGAATGGGGCATATCTGTATGATATTCGGGTAGTTTTTGGCTCACCTGTGTCACTTAGGTGACTCATTGCTATCAGTTTTCATCTGTCATCAATCGGGCATGTGTCCTGTGAAAACTTTTCACATTTTTAGCTCACCTGAGCCAAAGGCTCAAGTGAGCTTTTTCTGATCACATTTTGTCCGGCGTCCGTCTGTCCGTCTGTCTGTAAACTTTTCACATTTTCAACTTCTTCTCAAGAACCGCTGGGCCAATTTCAACCAAACTTGCCACAAAGCATCCTTGGGTGAAGGGGATTCAAGTTTGTTCAAATGAAGGGCCATGCCCTCATTCAAGGGGAGATAATTGGGAATTTGGTGGTATGTTTTAAAAGTCTTCTTCTCAAGAACCACTGTGCCAGGAAAGATGAAACTTATGGGGAAACATCCTCAGGTGGTGTAGATTCAAGTTTATTAAAATCATGACCCCCAGGGGTAGGGCAGGGCCACAATGACCGACCAAAGTTTTACATAGAAATATGTAGGAAAATTCTTTAAAAATTTTCTTCTCAAGAATATCAAAGCCATAATTGATCATATTTATATTGAGGCATCCTCAGGTAGTGTAGATTAAAGCTTGTTCAAATCATGACCCCCGGGGGTAGGGCGGGGCCACAATAGCCGACCAAAGTTTTACATAGGACATATATAGGAAAATTCTTTAAAAATCATCTTCTCAAGAATAGCAAAGCCATGATTAGCCATGGGACTACTTTTGGATTTTAAACTTTTCAATAATAAACCAATTTCTACTTTTTCCTAGCCACAGTTCTCGGGTGAGCGATGTGGCCCATGGGCCTCTTGTTAAACTTCTAAAGAACCACAGGACTGATTTAAATCAAATTTGTCAAAGTTTTCTTGGCTGAAGGGCATTGCTCCCTTCTAAGGGGTTATAATCAAGAAAAGGCAAAAACAGGATATTAAATTAAATGATTGTATGTGGTCGTGTTAGGCTTTTTGCATTGCAAATTTAAAAAAAAATCTTAGGAACATGATCTGGACAGTATGGCACATGGAGAATCATATTAATTCTTATGTGATGGATAGATCACATCTTATTGGCAATGCAGTGTTGGTAAGCAGCATAATATTGGTTAAATCTGGATTCTTATTGACCAGTGAAAGAGGCAGGATAATAATTTGAAATCTGATCATTTGCCACATTACTGGGTAAAGTAACTACTTATGTATATAACAGGTCAGTAGGAAAGACCATCCCATTTCTTATATTGTTCATCTTTTTGACAGTAATAATGATTACAAGAGAGGATATACCTTTTCTATTTTATTTACCTTTTCTGTTTTAAAATGAACAACAAAGTAATATTATAATACATATTGGATCATATAATTTATCTTAACATGTAAATACATGAACATGACATTTATAACAGAATTAAGCACTATTTCTTTTACAAAGCACTATTTCATTGCAGAGAATCAAAGTTATTCTTTGAAAATCTTAAGCACAATTCAACACAAGTAGCACATCACAAAACACTAGATAATCAGGCTTCACAAAACACTAGATGATCAGGCATCACAAAACACTAGATGATCAGGCATCACAAAACACTAGATGATCAAGCACTCCTGTACAGCTCACAGAAACTCTGGGTGGTGAGGGGGGCCATCTCATCCATCTCAGTTGACCTTCCTGCACTAGTGGTGGAGGGGGGAAGTTCTGGCTGCTGATCTAGCTGTTGGATGACATGGGCAGATAACTCTGTGACCTTCTTCCACTTGTTGGTGGAGACTTGTTGGTAGACCCTCTTGATGCCGTTGGCCACAGACTTCTTGGTGAGGTGGTGAATGGTTCTGGACTTGGAGTCTTGTAGTGTAGATTGGAGGGTCTGTTGACTCTGGTGCTGGATGTAGGACTCTGAAACAAAAAGGACAGTCATTAGAAAGCATTTCACATGTTAAAAATTTTAAAAATGATCTATGACAATTTATATACTTTACCTTCTATAAATAATTTTAATTGGAAATCTGATAACATAAATACTAGATTCTGTCAAATTCATACCATATATGGAATGTACATGTAGGACTCTGAAATTAACAAAGAAATATTCGTCAGTGTAGCACAATACATCCATTATGTCTTCACTGTAAATTTGCAGTCATCAATCATTATCATTTTTTTAAGTTGAAAATTATACTAAATGTAGGATGCATAATTTTTAATTACGATAATACACTATTTAAACAAAGGTAATAATTTATAACCTACCTAGAGCAGCTATCTGAGAGTTGGCCTTCTCGTGTGAGATGAGTAGTTCCCTCATTTCTGTAGCATACTTTATAACCTGGGAGTCAGTCATACCAGCCATATCTGTAAGAAGATATACAAAGAGATAAAGGCAAAGATTTGTATAGCACTAAGTTTGTAGCAGAGGAGTTGGCTGATTTTGGATTGAAGAATGTTTAAGGAAATCTTCCTATTTATTACTTGGTCAGTAAAAACTTTACTAGATGGTTTGATTTCATTGGCTGGATTTTGGTAATTGCTTTAAAAATTATTATCCCAGGTGGATAATTTTCAGTGGAAGGGACTATCAAATTAGGATTGCTGTACAATTGTTCCATTATTGATTCCTTTGAGGTTCAATCTTGTTCACTTTGATATAGATAATGAAGTAATTATTAATTAGATAAAGGTGAATTTGTTTTACTTTTGTAGAGCAATGATTATTAATTATTGGTTAATTAGCTCTGCTAGCTTGTGTGGTCAACCAATTTACAGCTAAGATTACCTGTGCGTAAGCTGATATGGCTTGGGTACACTGTTAATCTTACAGCTTGGGTCTTTTTAAACAATCATTTAAATTCAGCAATTTTTTAAACTGGATAGTTTACATTTTAATAATAATACTTATCATTACTTAATAAGATGCAAGGATTCACATCTTATGAAGTTTAATGTTTTTCTGTCATTCTATTATGGATAACTGCTACATTCTGTTGTGGATAACTGCTACATTCAAACAAAGATTAAAAGATCAATATATTCAAACGTGGAATAGTGAAGTTCAAGAATCTTCAAAAAGTTTAAATTATAGATTTTATAAAACCAATTTTGAGTGCGAAAAATATTTAATACTGTTATCATTTAAATTTAGAAAAACTTTTGTTAAGTTTAGAACCACAAATCACCACCTCCCAATTGAAACAGGTAGATGGAATGATACTCAGAGAAATGAAAGAGTTTGTAGCTTATACAGTAGTAAGCAGATAGGAGATGAATATCATTATATCTTAGAATGTAGTGCTGAGGAAAGTTTATTCGAACCAAAAAATTTTTTCTAATCCAAATATATCAAGTTTCGTGAAGTCATGTGCCAAAATGATGTTGATTCTTTGAAAAAATTATGTACTTTATTTCTAAAATTAATAGTATTGTCTCTTCTCCCTAATTATCACCTTTTGCTAGACCCACTGTATTATATGTATATATGTTTTATATGTTTTTGTACCTCATGTACCATTTACATGGTTTTGAGTGAATAAATTGAATTGTTATGGACCACAGATTTGGATCTACACAATAAGCTGAAGAAATAAAAGTGCATATAAAGATCAACAGTATTATTGAAGTCATATATTTCCCACCCACTCCACCAAATCTGTGGCTTTAATTTGATTATTTTAGTGACATGATCTTTCCTGACTAGATTATGAAGATGTGAACCAGGCTAATTAGAACAAATATGCCTTCAGGATTAAAGTCCTTTTTAAAACATTTTACGGGTTAATTTAAGGGGAGATCCAAATATATGTCATCCTTTAGATAACAATTAATGTAGAACTGTTTTTAATGATAGAAATTTTTTTAAAAAGTTTAAATATTTGAATTAGTTTGAACTGAGTAAATATGCCAAATCCTCACTGGTGGATAATTTGATGATACGTGTACATGTACATAGCCTGTATCAATGCTTTGTCAAATGCAAATCAAATGGCATGCAAAAATATTTTTTTTACAAAGAGATTGTATGGTTTTACTGCAGACCCTTATGTAGGGACTTAAAACACACAATGACTCTGAGTTAGATAAAACATCATAACTATAACCAAAACCAGGGGTTTTTTTTTATCACATAGTTTACTCACATTCATTTCATGTTTTGCACTGTTTTGTATATATTTTTTTAAAAGACATTTCTTTTTTACACGGCTAATCAAGTTCCTAACCTCACATATAAGAACTTGGATATATATTCACAACTTGACTGCAGACAATAAACATTACAGAGACAAAGTACATGTACATAAAACCATCTGACATCTTTAATTAATATACTGAGGAGTTGTCATTCATTATTTTTAACTTTCTGTAACTTTCATGTTGGTAACTTTTAATTAGATCCGCTGACTTAAGATGAGTTGCCCTAATTCTGTCCCTTAGTTTTCACAAGATATTTTTTCTGTGATTTGTCTGGTAACAAAGTATACCCCTTTCATGTGAATGTATTAACTGGGCCAATTCCTAGATCTACTGGTCACAGACCAGAAGAGCCTCTGCGGTAGTAATGTGTCCATTGCCCGTCTATTTTTCTGTAAACAATTTTTCAAAATGCTACAGCCTACTGCTCCTACAGTTTTGGTCTGATTTCAATATAACTTGACACACAAGTAGACTACATTAAATTACATAATTTAGTGCGTCAGATATTGATTTTGATGTCAAGATTGGTGTTGCCATGGTTATCAAAAATAGAAAATTCTGTAAAATTCCTTTAAAAAAACTCCTCCTCCCACAGTTTTGGTTTGATTTCAATATAATTTGGCACACACTACACTAAAGTTCCTAATTCAATGCATCGGTTTTCGATATCAATAAACAGTGTTGCCATGGTAATTAAAATTAGAAATTTCTGTGAAATTCATTTTAAATGCTACTCCTCCCACAGTTTGAGTCTGATTTCAATATAACTTGGCACACAAGTAGACAACTCTTAAGATACATTTTTTTGTATCAGTATTTGATTTCAATTAACAGTATAAGTAAGTATACGCACTAGGTTAAGGACTCCCAAAGGTATATCAATCTATGCAGAGCTTCGGGAAATAGATTACGTCACAGTGAAAATGTACAAATGAATCTCGGCGAATAAATAATACCGTATAAGTGGAAATTTTAGCGAGACCCAAATTTAGCGATTTGTCCTTAAAATCTGGTAATTTAATTTTAGCGAGATGTCAATTTAGCGGTTTTAAAATGCACATTAAAGTAGCTATTAGAAATAAAATGCAACTAATTTTTAGCGATATTTAATTTTAGCGATCTCGGCACCCTCGCTAATAATGCCAAAATTAAATCCTTGCTGAAAATTCTACTTATACGGTAATTTTCTTTTTCATACACTCTAACATACTATGATTTCTCATAATTATTGTAAATATAAATTAATTATATATGTAACTTATCTTGTCATTATAACACTATTAAAAGTAAAATCAAAGCCAACTTGATCTCACTGTACTGACAGAGATGACGTCATAGACTAGTTTGACACATAGTTTCTCTGTACTTGAGACGCAGAGCAAGCTATTATTGCAACTCGTAAATATGAAAATTAAAACTAAATAAGCGTTATATGACTAAAATTTAGTCAAATTTTTGAATGCATTAATCAATGTATCACAGTCTTATTAAATTGATAATGAATAGGTCTCATATAAAGCCGCAGTCATGCACTTTTTTTACATAAATGTACTACAATCACAAGCACAACACCTCGAAAATCTCAAAAGTTCAACAACATCAGCTTAACTATAAATTGATATTTTATACACATGTAGCTATTGTCCCTACGATTTTGAAAAGTGCTGGGAGCAAGTTATATGCTGCTGGGTTTTTCTGTAATTTTACATTATTTCAAAGTGTATCGTGTAACATGTTATATTCATCAAATTTCAAATACTCCAAGCTATAAATTTTCATGTTGCATTACTATTATACTTGTCAGGCATATTCAGATGTCTTATGGATGTACTTCTATCTTTTAAGAGAAACTTTCACCTTGACTGAACATTATCCTTAAATATGAATGCCCTCACTCCTTCATTGAACCCATTGAAATGAACTACATGACTATTCAATATTATATATACAGTTGAGCCTCATTTATGTGGATGCTTTGTGTGGATATGTGAAGCATCTGGATACCTGAATTACCAGTTAAGCAAGATAAAATAACTTTTTAAAAATCATCCAGATACTGAAGCATCCAGATATCTGGCGTCCACTGTATCTTCTACATTTTATAGAAGAAAAAATACTTCATGATATTTCATTAAATATTTATTCAAGAATTATATATATTATGCAATCAATAACAAAACATATTCCACTAATCATAAATATAGCACTAAGGGAACACAGCACATTATTATAAAGCACAAACACAATCAATTAAGTAAGACATTGAATCACAGCACTACTTCATCACATGGAACACTAGATGATCAGGCGTCACAAAACACTAGATGATCAGGCGTCACAAAACACTAGATGATCAGGCGTCACAAAACACTAGATGATCGGGCGTGACAAAACACAAGATGATCGGGCGTGACAAAACACTAGATGATCAGGCGTCACAAAACACAAGATGATCGGGCGTCACAAAACACTGGATGATCAGGCGTCACAAAACACTTGATGATCAGGCGTCACAAAGCACTGGATGATCAAGCACTCCTGTACAGCTCACAGAAACTCTGGGTGGTGAGGGGGGCCATCTCATCCATGTCGGTTGACCTTCCTGCACTAGTGATGGAGGGGGGAAGTTCTGGCTGCTGGTCTAGCTGTTGGATGACATGGGCAGATAACTCTGTGACCTTCTTCCACTTGTTGCTGGAGACTTGTTGGTAGACCCTCTTGATGCCATTGGCCACAGACTTCTTGGTGAGGTGGTGAATGGTTCTGGACTTGGAATCTTGTAGTGTAGATTTGAGGGTCTGTTGACTCTGGCACTGGATGTAGGAATCTGTAACAAAAAGGATAGTTATAAGAAAACATGTGTTCCACATTTTTGTAAAAAGATTGTTAATGACATTTTACATACTTTTCTTGCTATAAATATTGAAATATTTTACTGATAAGATAGATACTAGAGGTTTTAATTCTTTCATATTTATAACTTATAGTTAATAAAATTCTTTTAAATGAAAAAAAGTCATACCTAGAGCTGATATCTCTGAGTTGACCTTTTCATGGGAGATGAGAAGATCCCTTAAGTCTTTGGCATACTGCACCACCTGGGAGTCTGTCATACCAGCCATATCTGTAACTAGAAAATACAAAGTAGATAAACAGAGAGAAGTA